CCTGAGGACAATGCAGTGGTTAAAATTAGATTTCAAGAATGCGTTCAATCTCCTGAAAAGAGACGTGGTATTAGCAGCAGTACAAGAACATTTCCCTGGTCTCTTCCTTTTGTTTCAGCTGGGTATAGCAAGGAATCAATGCTTCTCTTTGGAGAGCATGAAATCACATCATCGGAGGGTGTCCAACAAGGAGATCCTCTTGCACCATTTCTCTTCTGTATTGCAGTTAGGGAAATCACAGTCAGACTGACAGCGAGCTAAACATCTGGTTCCTAGATGATGGCACACTAGCAGGTACAAAGGAGTCCCTCCTACATGACCTTACACAGGTAATGACACGGGGCAGGAAATGGGTCTCATCCTGAATCCATCCAAATGTGAAATCATCTCAGTCAGTCAAGAAGTGATAATGCAGTGAGATCAAAACTACCAGGGAGCAGCAGTCATTGCCCCCACAAATAGTTGTCTTGCTAGGAGCACCTTCGGGAAGCAATGCCATTGACACAATTCTCAGGAAGAAATTGGAAGAGTTAAGGAGAATGGAACAACGAATAGGCAATCTGGACACCCACGATGCCTTGTACCTTCTCACAAAGTGCTTGAGTCTGCCCAGGTTGACATATTTCTAAGATGTGCACCTTCATATGATAACCCTATACTGCACGAATATGACAGTATTCTGAGGCAGATTTTTACGAAACTACTTAACCTTACTCTAGAAGACGGGCAGTGGAACCAAGCTACACTTCCAGTCAGACTAGGAGGCATTGGTGTCCGCAAGTCATCACAGATTGCGTTACCTGCTTTTCTGTCCTCGTGTATTGCATCCAGAGAGCTTGTAGCAGCGATTCTCCTGAACATCTTAGGGACAAGATTGGAGCCAGGACCAAAAATTCATTGACGGAGCAATGATCTGGGATAATCTAACGGGCTCAGAAACCAGACCTGCTCCCCCCAACAACTACAAACAATCGCACTGGGATGGTCCAATGTGGAAAATATAGCCTCAACGATGCTTCAGAGTGTGTCAGGGAAGGATAGAGCCCGCCTGCTGGCAGTGAGAGCCCCTCATGCTGGGGACTTTCTGTTGGCTGTTCCCAACTCCAGCCTTGGCACACGCCTCGACCCACAGACCATCCGCATCGGTGTTGCCCTTCGACTTGCCGCCCTATTCTCGCCGAACACAGGTGTATTTGTGGCAGTGAAGCAGCAGACCGATTCGGGTACCATGGTCTTGTGTGCCGTAAATCCGAGGGAAAGATTGCAAGACATGAGGAGGTTAATAACATTATCAGGAGGAGCCTCACAACAGCTGGATGCCAGCAGTAAGGGAGCCACCCCAACTATGCAGATCTGATGGCAGCCGGAGAAGCGTCCAGATGGTATCACCCTCAAGCCTGGACAGATGGGAAGCAGGTGGTGTGGGACTATACATGTGCATCTACCTTGGCTGATACCTATCTCCAATACACCAGGGAGGAAGGAGGGGCAGCTGCCAGCTTTAGGGAGTCCCAAAAGTCTAGAAAATATGGAGAACTTGCCCACATTTATATGTTGTTCCCATAGGCTCAGAGACCCTTGGCTCATGGGGAAAGAGTGCATCTAATTTCCTTAAGGAGCTGGGAAAAAGACTCATCAGGGTAACTAGGGATCCCAGGGCAGCTAGTTTTCTGTTCCAGCGGCTCAGCGCGGCTGTTCAAAGGGGTAATGCATGCTGCATTTTGGGCACACGCCCCAGCTCTGAGGAGCTGGATGAGATTTTCGCCTTATAATCGGTGATACACACGTAACACATGTACCGTATTATGCACCTTTATATCAACAATGTATCTCTTAAATCTTCTGTGCCATATTATGTAATAAAATATTCTATTGGTAAAAAAAAAAAATAGTTTAAAAGATGGGGTGGTAGGGGAAGTGGAATATTCAAATGGCTTCAGGAAGAAATCCAAATATTCTTCCTTGAAGCCTTTTTATACCACTTCTCCGAGGCTATGGGTCCCACAATTTACACCAGAGGTGGACCCCATCCTATATATATTATATATAATATATATATATTATATATATATTATATATATATGATATATATATATATATATTATATATATGTATAAATATATATATATATATATATATATATTATATATATTATATATATATATATATATATATATATATATTATATATATGTATAAATATATATAATATATATATATAAATATAATATATATATATATAATTATATATATATTTTATATATATATATATATTGTGTGTGTGTGTGTGTGTGTGTGTGTGTGTGTGTGTGTGTGTGTGTGTGTAATGGTTTGTTCATGATCTTTGTATTGGACTTGGTGGCGGCTGAAACATATTCTCATAATGGTTCCTACCTTGGTAGAAATGTCTTTTTCACATAGTAATTAGTAAAATATATCTTCTGTGATACTGAACAGAGGATTATTTAGTAGAGTAATATTTATTTATAAAGCCTCAGTCTTGCCCATTTCCTAACCTAAATAAAACAATTTCAGTACTGACTTTACACATGATATATAAGAGAATTTAGAGATAAAAGTTAAGATAACAATTAATTCACAAAATACACACACACTTTTGAGAAGGAATTGATGACTGCGTCTCGGCCTGTCCTGGACCATTGTCAAGTCACATTGAGTGATAAAAGGTGGAGATGAGCAGAGGATGGGTCAGGAAGATGAGAGTAGTAGTAGTAGTAGTAGTAGAACAGAAATGGTAGTGGAAAACGTTGATTTAATAGCTGTAGTAGTGGAAGTGATAGTGGTAATTACAGCAGAAGTGGTAGTAGAAGTGGTAGTTAAAATGGTAATAGCAGTAGTAGTAATAATGGTACATCAAGTTATAAAAGTACCTATTATACTGCCATAACCACAATGAAACACATACACCATGAGATCACATTTCTCACCATCAAACTGGGGAAGCTTGAAGAGACTTGATGCAGCAACACTAGAACACAGCATCAACAGCATCACAGTCGCTGCCATCTTGACTCTGTGAAGACACTACAAGAGTTAAATAAAAGAAAACCATATATGTCAAAACTTTTATTATACTGATACAACAGAATTTGACGGGAACCAATATACTCTAGAAACAAAAAAAGGCAGTAATATCGTCTTGGGAGTGTCAGTTTACTCAACAAAATATTTACCACTCATCAACTTTTGGTGAACATTTTTTTCTACAATATTCAATCAGTAAATTGAAAAAGGAGCAGTTTTATTCCTTGAAGTGCGACAGAGGATCTAGTGTATATAAACAGTATGTGTGTTTGAGGACATGGAGCTCAATGCAATAGACGAATTTGAAAAGTTTCTAAGGCTGTGATTATAATAATGGGGAATTAGTGTCGAGTGTTATAGAGCACCATCTGAATCTGAAGGTAGGAAATTGCTTCTTTCTCCAGGATAAATGTACTGCAATGTTCAGTGAGGTTAAAGGTACCATTAACTTTCTTGCTCATAAAGGTAGGAATATCCTTGTGGTCGGTGACTCTCAGATAAAATATATTGACCAGTGACCGTTCTTTCTGTATCAAAGATAGGAAGAGGAAAAAGAAGGTTTTTTCCCATGAGTTGGTACTGGTGATAGAGTCAACAGGTTGTATAATACCATGACAGGTAATGGGAACAAATCCATTATCTGCCTCAGTGATGGTGGAAATAAAATTGGGAGGCACAGGATACAAGAACTGCTAGATAAATTTAGGTCAGCTATAGATTCAATTATGACTATGGGAGGGGTCCCAGTCATATGTAGCATCATGCCTAAAAGAGGAGTTGTCATTTGGTGTAAATTGCTGGCTAGGAGCTTGCAATTTCATCCATTGGCAACTGGGACAATTTCAATACCTCTCCAGGGGCAGGAGTGGTAGAATTAGCAATACTACACAAATAACCCGCACATAGAAGAGAGGAGCTTACGATGACGTTTCGATCCGACTTGGACCATTTACAAAATCAAAGTCGGACCGAAACGTCGTCGTAAGCTCCTCTCGTCTATGTGCGGTTTATTTGTGTATCGTTCCAGTTACGGTATTGTGCCCTTTTTGTTAATTAGCAACACTGTTGAGGAAGGCCGTTGCTGAATTGTGTAGGACTTTAAACTGATACATAATAGAGGTATGGGTGTGTGGGGGGGAAAAGCAAATTGCAACACCAGAGATGAAAGCAGCAAATGTTACCAGGATACCTCAGGAATATGTTTAAAAGACATTGTTAATCATAAAGTTACTAATAAATGCAATGGGAAGGGTCAACATACAGAGACAGTAGAGAGAAACAAGTATCTAAGCTCCTTTAAAGTTCACTATACTAATGGTAGGAGCATTAGATAAAAAATAAATGAGCTAAGACTAATTTCATGTGTAGGAAACATAGCTATCATTGCTATAAGAATGACCTGGGTTAGCCTGAAAGATAGAATGACACATTCAAGGTATTCCACACCGGTAATGTCAACAAGAAGGGTGGTGGAGTGGCGATGTATGTCAGAGATAATTTAACTTGTTGCAGTTGCTCGAGAGTCGTGAAAAACTAATTTTGGGTGTAATTTAAAGGCTACTAAACCTAGATAGGAAATACAGTAAATTTCTATGGGACGAAATTTATAAGACATCTAGATATGAAAATGTTGTGGTAATGGGAGATTTTAACTTTACGCAAATTGATTGGAGAAATTTAACAGGAAGTCTTAAGTCTAGCGACGTTTTTGATACGATCCAAGATGGATTTTTAAAACAGTTTGTGATAGAACCAACTAGAGAATATAACTTGCTCGACTTTGTTCTTGCCAGAAAGGAATCACTAATTAATAATTTTGATTTAAATTTCAATGTATCATGGAATTACCTTAAGTGAATGTCCCTGACCGATTTCATGGAACTGAGAAATTACCTGGGTGGGTTGAACTAGTATAGCCTGACCCAGCCTCATCATGTGGGTCAGGTAGGTGGTGATCGCTGCTAATGTGACATTTTTTAAAGCATAGTTCTAGCTGCCCAGACTACTTAATGGATAAACAATGGATAAAAATATCTCATAGGTCATAAGAGGCGCATTTACAGGCGAATCAAAAGTGGAGATGGGAACTTAAGAAATCAATTTATTTAAATTAAAATAAAAATGTATAAGAATAAGAAAAGCGAAAAGAGATTGAGATTGAAGTCATAAGGAATTAATCCAAAAAGGTTTCTTTTAAGATTAAGGACAAGATAGGCCTACTCAAAAGCTACTTGGGCCAGCTCATTGAAAATGATAAAAAATGTGTAGAAGTTTAAACACTTCCTCTCAGTTTAACTCAGGAAGATATTACAGAATTTCCAGAAATAAATTATATAGCTCAGGACGAAAATATGCACAAAGTCAGTAATACAATAGTTCTAAGACTAATAGACACATTAAAACCTAATAAATCCCCTGAACTTAATAGACTGTTCTCAAGGATTATAAAGGAATGTAAGGAGGAACTTAGCAAACTTTTAGCTGGTATTTTCAACACATCAGTACAAACTTGCGTAGTGTCAAGTAAGGATCCTCACGGGATGATGATGATACCTGCTGTGGAAGTTAGAGGTGTGGGGCTGCGTTTTATAGTGAGGGCTTTGATAATTGATGTGTTAATGTTGAAATATTTATGTTATTCTTAGCAAGTACTAGGCGAGTATTCTTGGCAACATCACATGGGAGCACTATGAAGTGTTTATAGGGCTGTTCCATGGGAGATTTATTGAAAATAGCTTGTGATTTGAGTCTGCAATTCCGGATGAAGAAAGATGGAAATTGAAGTGAAAAGGTTGGACATGGTGGTACCCAGGTCCTCTCCTCCTCAATTCACCACATCTTGATACCCTCTCCTGTTGTTTACGTGCCGATGAAATGCGGTATTCTCAGAACGAGGCCTCATAACGTGCTGCTCAGATTCGTGCTTCACTTCCCACTCCTGACTGATGAACAGCAGAATATATATACTCACCCAAACTACAACCGCTAACGAACACTGAAGCTATCACAAAAACTACAAGACCTGTGCTCAAACAGCAACTGAAGCGAAATGGGACACCCAGAAATCATAAATAACTTATCTTCTTACACTCTAACTGTCATCGAGAAAGAAGCCTTCAGCCTGGGACTCAAGTTTAGTACTGGCATCACATAGAAACATCATCTCCTGGACATGGTAACCAAGAACCAGTCTTTTGGGAACTCCGAGTTTCATAAAGGTTTCGTAGAATGAATTACCACTGCTGCGGTTACTGAGCCTTTATGACCGGTCATTCCCAGAAGATACATCCATGCACTCAGGGGAGTAGCTAACAACGATGATATTATCATTACCACCTCTGACTAAGAAGGAGGTGTGGTGTTACTTAACACTGTCGACAACAATTATAAACTTAAAACCTCTTCACTGATGTCATCACATACCAGACTCTTCAGACTCACTGTTACTTCAGAGCACCAAAATGCCCGTAACATTTTATGGAAATGAGAACTAAGCGAGGAAATACTTTAAATTTTACCAGGTCAACCAAAATCAGTACGTCTTGATGGCCTTCCTAAGACACATAAGCATAGGAAGTTCACCACACACATTATCTGGCCATCCTGCCAAATGCTTCTCAGTACTTCTAGACCCAACTCATACACCCGGATGACCTCTCTCAGACCTGAACGTCAAAAACAAAAGCATGATTTCCTTCGACGAAGTTGATAATTGTTTTTAATGTAGAGAGCAAGAAACAATGATGATTGTTTTGAATTCTGTGATAATAAAATGTTGATGATTGTTTCACATGCAGAAAGTCAGAAAATTAGATGATTTATCTATGACTTTATTACAGAATGTTGAAGATTGTTTTAAATGGAACAATGAATAAAAACGCAGTATAATGCGATCCTTTATTGACTACGTTTCGCCCACAAAGTTGGCATTATCAAGTCACAAACAGATATATTAGAGCAAACAAATATTCTGAGACGGAGGCTCACCGATAACCACAACCTCCCATTACCTCTTCTGAATTTCATCGTCTAGTGCAGTGGTTCTTAATCTTGCTGGAGGTACTGAACCTCGCAGGTTTCATCCGTGCAATCACCGAACCTTCTTAATTGGAAAAATGAAATATGATTTCTTCAACAAATGATTTTAACCAAACTGCAAATCAATGTGACTTTTGCTGTTGCCTTTCTGAGACAAGTTCAGAAACGCGCAGCTTCACCTTGGCAAGTGTCACTCTCATATCATTTTCGCAATAACGTCTGTTCCTTTCCTTCGTGTTGATGTCTACCATCCTGGAAAAGGATTGCTCGCAAACATACGTTGTAACAAACGGCGTGAGTATCTCAAGGGCTTTCTTAGCAATAAGAGGGTAACGCTACGATTTGATGACATCAAAACGTTGAGAGCGTTGTTGTTCTGAAGAGTTGCTGTTGAACCTGACTCTACTGGCGTTCAATGATTTCATCGAGGTATTCATCATTGACATCTGCTGTGGCAACACTGAACGTGAACGGCTGTCTCACCCATGCTGGATATGGCTCTCTGGTGGAAGAGTATCCGTCGAGAGACTTTGCGAGCTTATCTAACTGCATGGCAATTACTTGCTTCAGTTCCCCGGGTGCAGAAATGTCTCCGATTCGAGACACGTCTTCACGAATCATACTAGTCACGAATCATACTAGTTGAGTGAACGGAACGGACACACACACACACACACACACACACACACACACACACACACACACACACACACACACACACACACACACACACAAACACACACACACGAAGGGCAAAGAAGACCGCAGACGGAGTACAGTCTAGGGGGTCAGAGACTACAAACCTCACTCAAGGAAAAAGATCTTGGGGTGAGTATAACACCAGGCACATCTCCTGAAGCGCACATCAACCAAATAACTGCTGCAGCATATGGGCGCCTAGCAAACCTCAGAACAGCATTCCGACATCTTAATAAGGAATCATTCAGGACCCTGTACACTGTGTACGTTAGGCCCATATTGGAGTATGCGGCACCAGTTTGGAACCCACACCTAGCCAAGCACGTGAAGAAACTAGAGAAAGTGCAATGGTTTGCAACAAGACTAGTCCCAGAGCTAAGAGGTATGTCCTACTAGGAGATGTTAAGGGAAATCAACCTGACGACACTGGAGGACAGGAGAGATAGGGGGGACATGATAACGACATACAAAATACTGAGAGGAATTGACAAGGTGGACAAAGACAGGATGTTCCAGAGATTGGACACAGTAACAAGGGGACACAGTTGGAAGCTGAAGACACAGATGAATCACAGGGATGTTAGGAAGTATTTCTTCAGCCACAGAGTAGTCAGTAAGTGGAATAGTTTGGGAAGTGATGTAGTGGAGGCAGGATCCATACATAGCTTTAAGCAGAGGTATGATAAAGCTCACGGCTCAGGGAGAGTGACCTAGTAGCGATCAGTGAAGAGGCGGGGCCAGGAGCTCGGACTCGACCCCCGCAACCTCAACTAGGTGAGTACAACTAGGTGAGTACACACACACACACGAACACACACACACACACACACACACACACACACACACACACACACACACACACACACACACACACACACACACAAACACACACGAACACACACACTCACGAACACACACACACGAACACACACACACACACACACACACACACACACAGAGGAGACATGATAACGACATACAAAATACTGCGTCGAATAGACAAGGTGGACAGAGAGAAGAGGTTCCAGAGAGGGGACACAGAAACAAGGGGTCACTCTTGGAAGTTGAAGACTCAGGCGAGTCATAGGGATGTTAGGAAGTATTTCTTCAGTCATAGGGGGATTACCAACAGACCCCTGGCAGTCTTCAAGCTGGCACTGGACAAGCACCTAAAGTCAGTTCCTGATCAGCCGGGCTGTGGCTCGTACGTTGGTTTGCGTGCAGCCAGCAGCAACATCCTGGTTGATCAGGCTCTGATCTACCAGGAGGCCTGGTCACAGACCGGGCCGCGGGGGCGTTGACCCCCGGAACTGTCTCCAGGTAAACTCCAGGTAATAGAGTGGTCAGGAAGTGGAACAGTCTGGCAAGTGATGTAGTGGAGGCAGGAACCATACATAGCTTTAAGATGAGGTATTATAAAGCTAATGGAGCAGGGAGAGAGAGGACCTAGTAGCGTTCAGTGAAGAGGCGGGGCCAGGAGCTGAGTCTCGTCCCCTGCAACTACAATTAGGTGAGTACAATTAGGTGAGTACTGTGTGTGTGTGTGTGTGTGTGTGTGTGTGTGTGTGTGTGTGTGTGTGTGTGATCTCCGACGAACCCCTGAGACTGACTCACCGAACGCAGGTTAAGATCCACTGGTCTAGTGGATCTCTGTTAATTTTAACCTCTTCAAGTATCAGGACAACTGCTACAAACAAAGTTTTGGGATGGTAATGGGCAGCCTGCTGGGTGCTGCGCTTTCCAACCTCTTCATTGAGTATCTAGAGACCGGGAAATTAAGCACCCTCATTCCCAACTCCGATTCCTGGCTAAGATATATTGACGATATATTGATTTTCTATCCGAGATGATTCAGTATCCAGGCCCTTCTCAAAAGATCAGTGCTATCGAGCCATAAATAAAGTTTTCACTTGAACTCTAAAAAGATGGCAAACTTCTTTTCCTCGACGTCCTCCTGGGCAGGTTTCCCGAAAGTGGAAAACTTTTCTTCAAAGTGTAAAGGAAACCAACCAATAAGAAGGATCTTATAAACTCCTATTCTCATTGGCTTCTTGAAAGCTCTTCTTGAAAGCTCTTCTCCAGGTAAACTCCAGGCATCTCCAGCTCTTGTTTCCTTGAAGGGGAATGCATCTACATAAAACAAAGCCTTCATACATCTTCAGTTTCCGTCTTCCTTCATTCGGGATTGTTATGAAGGAGTCAGGGCCCTTCAGACCCTCAAAGAGCATTTGAAGGAACCCCATCCTCTTCCTTATAAAAAGAAAACAGAAAAATAAATTTTAACAAAATAAGATAAACTACTTTTTATTAAATATTAGTAAATCTCTCAAAATATAAAACAATCAAATATGAACTCGTCCTAACTGAAGCAATTGATGGAAAAAATATAAAAAAATAAATGGAGGAAGCCTAATATGTACAGAATGATATTCTTCTGAATCTACCGTTGGTATGGCAAGGCACAGGAATAGCTGGAGTGTAACAGGAAGTTAGAGATAGTGTAGTGAGGTCACAGGTGGTTGGTGACTATTGTGAAGTCCAGCACCAGAAGGTAACAACGCCTATGAAAGTGCACAGCCATCAGCTCAATTAACGAAGTTGGCTGCCGGAAGTGGTAGACAACTGGAGATCGGCAAAAGAGGTAAAAGGGACAAGCCAAGTTCGTCAACATTCTAATGTTGTAGAAATAGCAGATTTGTCCTGGTGGAATAGAAAAAGCAGAGTTTTCAAGATGATGGCTTTGAAGAGATCGTTGACCTGTACAGAGTGGTAGATCAGCAGAGTTCTCGTAATGACGGAGAAGTGTAGATCCAAACCACAGTGAAGGAAGAGCAAAGTTCCTAAGACAGTGAAATCTCAAGTTTCCGAATATCATCAGATTGTGCTGCTCTTCTCATCCCGCCTCTGTCGGGCGACCTGAATCATGCAGCAAGGAGACTTGGTGAGAGCAGGAAGCCAAGTGATGCTCCTCCGTCAGCAAGGGTCCCATGTTGACTCCCACCCGGTAGAGAAGGGGGGGGGGGTGAGGGTAAAGGTAACTGCTTACATACCCCCTTTCTGAACAGTCATACTTCCTCCACCACTCATTCAGTTTTTCACTCTTATTTAATGAACCTTTTCCTCGCACTGCAGACTCGTCAAGCAGTCCTCTGAGCGGTTCACAGTGCACCAGTGTGGTGATGTTGCCAGGAATACTCACCAGGTTCTTACTAAGAGCGACATAAATGTTTCCACCATAAAAACATCAATGAAACGTAGCTCCACACCTCTAACTTCCACAGTGGCCGTCGTCACCACCACTGAGGATACTGTCCCAGGAAATATGTAGGGAATACAGTCAGAAACCTTTCACTCCGCCTGAACGAACATAAAATGCCAGCAACAAGGATGACTTAAGGTACGCGTGTGTCCCCACAGGGACTCCATGGGACATTTGATGAATGGGAATGAGGCACAACTTGCCCTCACCGAACACGATCTTTGACGCCGACGATGCATAGAAGCCTCGCTAATAGCCGTCACCGACACCATAGAACACATAATACAAAAACATTAGCATACATGATACTGAATCAGGTAAATCACCACCTACCTAACACCACCACAAGAAACACGTGATCCCTCAAAGTCACCATGTGTCACTTATACTTCACTCTCCGCCTATATATACACTGCCTTTTTATCTTGAGTGTGTTAGAAATGATCAAGGTTCCAGGATTGAAACATTTTCTGAGAAATATATACTAGTGCTTTCTCACGTGTTTTCTACACCAACGAATATGATATTGTGTATATGAACTCCAGTAAGGCTTTTGAAAGAGTTCCACATCGGAGGTTGTTGAGGAAAGTAGAGGCGAACGGAATAGGTGAAATTTTTTTCCTGGATGGACGCCTGGATAGACGGACCTTTTATGCACAGAAAGTGTGCATGAAAGGTGAGAAATAAGAGTGGGGACGCGTTACAAGCGGTGTTCCTCAGGGGTCAGTGCTTGGCCCTTTGTTCTTCACAATATACATAAAAGACATAGATGAAGGAATAAATAGCGAAATAAGCAAGTTTGCCGACCTCACCAAAATAGGCTGTCGAATTAATTCTGACGAGGACACTAGAGCGTTACAGGAAGATCTGAATAGACCTATGCAGTGCTCGGAGGAGTGGCAAATGCAATTTAATATAAACAAATGCAGAGTATCTAACAGTGGGTAAGTGATCGCAATAATACGAAAAGAATTCTTAGTTTTTCAAGAAGTATCAATAACAGGAGTCCTCAGGTTATTCTTTAAATCGTTAGATAGGCTTCATTTAGATTATTACGTGCTTCACAGTCACATAATCTACTAGGATAGACTGAGGTCCTGAATCTGCACTCTCTAGAAAGGCGTAAAATTAGGGGGATTATAACTGAAGTGTACAAATGGAGATCAAGAATAAATAAAAGGGATGTAAATATTATGCTAAATATATCTAACCAATATAGAACTCGCAGCTGTGCGTTCAAGTTGGAAATATTTAGATATAGAAAGGATATAGGAAAACACTAGTTATGTAATAGATTTGTGCATGAGTGGAACAAACTCCCGAGTAACGTCACTGAATGCTAAAACGTTGAGTAGTTTTAAAAACAAGTTAGACGAATACATGATTGGGTATGGGTGGGTGCGAGTTGAAAATGACTACCTTGGGCCAGTAGGCCTTGAGTAATGCTCTATCCTTCTTGATCGGGTGTGACTTGGACTTGCCTAGCTTGGCCAGTAGACTTTCTACAGTACTCCATCTTCCATATGTTCTTATGTTCTAGTAGTGGGAGTGAGTAGTGCCAGTCACTATGGTTCACTAGACTCACTGTAGTGATGGTGTGAGTAGTGCCAGTCACTATGGTTCACTAGACTCACTGTAGTGATGGTGTGAGTAGTGCCAGTCA